TTCCACATGAAGCTGCAAGGTCTGATGACGGCCAGGTCATTGGAGCAGCTGCTGCCCACGACTGAGGCAGAGAAAGACCAGGCCCCCGGGCTGTGGGAGGCCGGATCGACAGAGGGGAGCCTCATCCCCACGCCCAGCGCGAGTGCCGAGAGTGGCCCAGCCAGCACCCGCAGTCCCTCCAAGGAGCACCAGGCCCTCAAGGACCCCTGGACCTGGCTGATCTGCGGATGCAATGGCAAGGCACAGGAGATTGTGTCTGCGGCAGTGGTGGAATGGAAGGGCGACACGGAGAAGGAGGGCAAGGGTGCGTTGCTCTTCTATCGGCTGGCGTCGGCATATGCGTCAGACCGAAAGGCCATGAAGGGCAAGTCGGTGCAGGACGTGATCGACTTCGAGATGACCAGCATCGACGTGCAGCTCGAGCTGGCGCGCTTCAACAAGCTGTGCGCGCGGGCGAAGGCGCTCGGGCAGGACATCAACGAGCACATCAAGATCGACATCATGAAGCGGGCCATCCGGAAGACGGCCCTGGAGGACTTCATCAAGTACCTCCACGGCCAATCGGCTGGCAGCAACTGGGATGAGTTCCAGCAGGTGCTCATCAACTACGCCGACGACCACAACAGAGAGAACGGCGGCAACATCTCCATGACGGCGAATGTCAAGTCGTGGAGCGGCAACCAGCACAACGGGAGAGGCAGGGGCACCAGCAGAGGCAGAGGCGGCCACAGGGGCGTGAGCCGCGGCAGAGGCGGCAAGATGGGCAACGGCAGAGGGGGCTTCACAGCCAATGGCGGCCAGACGGACAACGGCAAGCCCCTTGCCGTCGTGCAGTGCGACTACTGCCAGAAGGCACACAAGGGCGGCTGGCGGCACTGCTTCATCCTCAGAGCAGACGAGGAGCGCGAGAGGGTGCAGTGGCCCACCGGCTGGGTTCCCCCAGGGTATCGCGGCAGAGGCGGCCGTGGCGGCTATCAGCCGTCGAGAGGGGGCAGCGGGGGCTCCCGTGGCAGAAGGGGCGGCACCCACGTCAACGTGGCGTTTGGGGAGTGCGACGACTCGCCCCTCTTCGAGTCGTCATACATCGTGGAGGAGACCCAGGACGTCGGCATGGCGTCGCATGCCAAGGTGGAGATGGTCGACAACAACGAGAGCGAGACGGACATCATCGTCGAGACGTGTGTGGCGGCCACGCTCTCCAATGTCAAGGACCAGCGGATCATGCACGACTCCGCATCAGAGCGGCACTGCGTGTGGGACAAGAGGTACTTCACCAACATCGAGCCAACCACAAAGTACCGCATTCGCTCGGTGACGGGGCAGACGACCACAGCGGAGGGTGTGGGCACCATCCAGATGCTCGTGCGGCAGACGGACGGCCGTGAGCTTCCCGTGCGGATCGGCAACGTGCTCTACGTACCCGGCCTGTCTGTCAACCTGCTGTCTGCGGGTATCCTCGATCGAGTGCATGGGTACTCATCGTTTCTGCAAGGGGCTCAGTGCAGCACACCATCGCTCTCCGCATGGAAGGCAACCTGTACTACCTGTGCGCCGGACCGATCCCACCCTCACCCGCAAAAGCCCCACCCCCATCCGCAAACCCACCCGCCCCACCGCTGACGGCGGCCACGAGCGACAAGACCAAGGAGGCGGCCATCCGTACGCACAGGCTGTGCTGCCACGTCAGCTACGACAAGCTGGCCAAGACGCAGAAGTTCGTCGAGGACATGCCCGTGATCAAGCCACCAGGTGACAAGGGCGTGTGTGATTGGTGCATGGCGGGCAAGATGCGCCTCAAGAATGTGTGCAAGGACCCCGGCACCAGAGCGGAGAAGCCTTTCGACCTGGTGCACCTCGACCACAAGCCCCTGCCAACGTCGATCAAGGGCCACACGGGCTTCTTCCTGCTGACGGATGACAAGACCCGCCACACCACCGCCTTCACTGTCACATCGCGCAAGAAGATCACGGAGTGTGTGAGCAAGTACGAGCAGGTCAGGAGTGAGATCAAGACGCTGCGGAGCGACGGCGCCAAGGAGTTCCGGTACGGCGCCTTGGCCAAGTACTGCAGGGAGCGGCGCATCCGGCAGCAGTTCGACGCCCCACACAAGCGGCACCAGGGCGGCGTCGTGGAGAGAAGGATCGACATCATCATGAGCATGGTGAGGGCGATCCTCGCAGACGCAGGCATGCCCCTCGCCTACTGGCCCTACGCGCTCGAATATGCCGTCAAGATCCACAACATCGTTGTGTCCAAGGCGGTGCAGCTTCCCGACGGCGAGATCACCTCTCCCCACTTCGCCCTCTACGGCACCAAATCGAGCATCAAAGGCCTGTTCCTCTTCGGGTCGGCGGCATTCGTGCACCAGAGGAAGGAGAAGCGGACGGCATTGCAGCCCAAGAGCAAGGTGATGGTGATGCTGGGCGTGGTTCCGAACATGAAGGGCGCCTACCGCGTCCTCGACCCCAACACGAACAAGGTGATCGAGACTGCGGAGGTGACGGTGGACGAGACCCGATTCCCCTTCAAGGAGCGACAGGAGCGCATGATGAACCCCACACCAGCCCCATGGGTAGACGAGAGTGGGACGGGGAGGACACACGGGCAACACGGGCATGAGGGAGGAGGTGACACGGTGTGTGAGCGTGTGGGTGACGAGCGTCTGCAGTTCAACACCCGCGTCCCGTCGCTGTCGAGCTCCACGACCCCACCTTCCCCCATGCCCACGCCTGCCACCAACGCCAACAACACCCCGACCCCCCCCGCACCCACCAACACCAACAATACCCCACGACCCCAGCCCATCCCGCAGACCCAGCCACAGCGTGACGGCCCATCATCCTCACCACCACCCCCACCAACCCCACCACCAGCTGTACAGCAACCACAACAACAAGGAGACCAGCGCGACAGAGGGGGCGGCAGATACAATCTGCGGCGCAAGGTGCAGCCACCCAAGCGAGACGAGGAGGGCTACGACTTCTCCAATTGCGGCCAGCGGCAGGTCAACGCCGTCAGAGCAGACGTGCAGAAAGAGCTGCCCACCCTGCAGGAGTACATCAAGAAGCGGACACCCCAACTGACCGGCAGCACATTGGCCAGGAGGCAGCAGGCTCAGCGCGAGCGGCAAGAGAAGGTCAACGAACTCGTCAGGGAGAAGCTGGGCTAGACGCCGAGCTTGAGAGGAGAGGAGATCGACGAGCATGAGAGAGTGCGTTTGGAGACAGAGGGGGAGACAGAGGGCTCGGAGAGTGAGTACGGGTAGATGTGCATGTGCGTGTGCATGTGTGTGTACGTGTGCATCGGCATGTGTGCATCTGTGTGTGATGTGCGTGTGTGCCTTGAGTTATGTGCTGTATGTGCGTGAGACGAGTGTGCATCCACTCACTGTTTTCTGTGTGTGAATCATGACTACTGGAATAGATGAGGATCTGAGACGTGACTTGGCGCTTGCGCGGCTGCTGGGCGAGCCCAGGTCTTACGCACAGGCAATGCGTAGTCCACTGAAGCATAGATGGCAAGAAGCAATGGATCGTGAGATGAACAGTGTGCGCGACAAGAATGTGTATAAGACAGTGACTCGCAGCTCAGCCAGGAAGCGAGTATCTCAGCCAGGAAGCGAGTATTGTCCATCAAGTGGGTTTTTGCGATCAGAGCTCACAAGTTCAAGGCTAGGATAGTGGTGCGTGGCTTTGAGTAGCCAGTGGAGGAGAGAGGCCCCACCTTCTCTCCCACTCTGCAGTTTGATGCATTCCATGTGGTGGCCAGCACAGCTAATGCGATGGACCTAGAACTGAAGCACCTGGATGTGGAGACAGCTTTTCTTTACTCACCTCTAGATGAGCCTGTGTGGTGTGAATTCCCTCCTGGATACAAAGTAGATGGATTTGTGATGGAGCTGCTGCGAGCGCTGTATGGTCTGCCAGGTGCTCCTCGTGCATGGAATGTGCATATCGATTCATATTTGTCTCAATTAGGCTTCCTTTCGTGCCGTAACGAGACGTCTCTGTACTACCAGCCGTCTCTCGGCGTTCTGCTCGCACGCTATGTAGGTGATATGATTGTTGCATCAGTGAGTGGAGGATACGAGTGGCTGAAAGAGATGCTGAGAGAGAAGGTCGTGATTGAAGACCTGGGTGATGTCAGCACGTTTTTGGGTGTGTCAGTGAGTCGTGACAGAGAGAGCAGGCAGCTCACGCTACATCTGACCAAGTACATGGATGCTGTGATAGACAAGTTCGGCATGACTGACTGTGGGCCGGCAGATTGCCCCCTGCCTATCGGCCCTGACTTCAATGCGCGTAGTGAGAGCTTTTCGGCGGCTGAGGTGGACAGCATAGCCAATTTTCCGTATCGATCAGTGGTTGGCCACCTGCAATACGCGGCCACCACGTGTCGGCCTGACCTCGCCTATGCGTGCTCTATCTTGTCTCGTGTCTTGGATGGTCCCGCACCGGTGCATGTGCATGCATGTTGACATGTACTGCGGTATGTTAAAGGAACACGGGACCTAGGCATCACTTTCTCTGGAGGAGAATGAGAGGCGATGTATGTGGGTAACATGCGTATGATTCTTTTCTCACTAGATGGCTACGCCGATGCGTCACTGACTGTGTCAGATCTTACCTGGCCGGCCGTTGTGTTACACTGTATGCTACATTCACGGTGGTCACTATGTGTGTGTGGACATGGCCATCTGTGTATGTGGCTCAGTGAACGGACATTCACCTCGCACACACCGCATCTGACATGAGCGCAGCGAAGTGTGGCGATTCGTGAGTGAGGTGCGGCGCGATGACGACGTCGGGTATAGACGTCAATGCGCTAGGGTCGGCCGTTGCCACTGCCCTCAGCAACGTGATGACCAGCAACAACAACTCCCAGGCACAGCAAATCGCCTCGGCTGTGACGACTGCATTGAAGGACAACGGACTGACGGGCGGCACGCAGTCAAGGTCCACGACGGAGATGGCCAAGCTGGAGGTACCCAAATTCTCGGGTGACCCGGCTGACTGGGAGGCGTTCCACATGAAGCTGCAAGGTCTGATGACGGCCAGGTCATTGGAGCAGCTGCTGCCCACGACTGAGGCAGAGAAAGACCAGGCCCCCGGGCTGTGGGAGGCCGGATCGACAGAGGGGAGCCTCATCCCCGCGCCCAGCGCGAGTGCCGAGAGTGGCCCAGCCAGCACCCGCAGTCCCTCCAAGGAGCACCAGGCCCTCAAGGACCCCTGGACCTGGCTGATCTGCGGATGCAATGGCAAGGCACAGGAGATTGTGTCTGCGGCAGTGGTGTGTATATGATGAATGTCTGTGCGCGCACACCTGCGCATGCACGTATCTTCTTGGAGTGTGTGTATTGATGAATGTCTGTAATCGCACAGTGTGTGTATATGATGATTGTCTGTGTGCGCAGACCTGCGCATGCACGTGTCGACTTGGACTGTGTGCACATACTGAATGTCTGTGTGCGCGGGTGTTGCGCATGGACGTTTGGACTTGGAGTGTGTGTATATGATGAATGTCTGTGTGCGCACACCTGCGCATGCACGTGTCGACTTGGAGTGTGTGCACATACTGAATGTCTGTGTCTGAACACATGCGCATGGACGTTTGGACTTGGAGTGTATGTATATGACGAATGTCTGTGTGCGCACACCTGCGCATAGACGTTTGGACTTGGAGTGTGTGTATATGACGAATGTCTCTGTAAGCACACCCGCGCATGCACGTGTCGACTTGGACTATGTGCACATACTGAATGTCTGTATGCGCACACCTGCGCATGCACGTGTCGACTTGGACTGTGTGCACATACTGAATGTCTGTGTGTGCACACCTGCGCATAGACGATTGGACTTGGAGTGTGTGTATATGACAAATGTCTCTGTGCGCACACCCGCGCATGCACGTGTCGACTTGGACTATGTGCACACGAATGTCTGTGTGCGCACACTCGCGCCTGCACATGTCGACTTGGACTGTGTGCACATACTGAATGTCTGTGTGTGCACACATGCGCATGGACGTTTGGACTTGGAGTGTATGTATATGACGAATGTCTGTGTGCGCACACCTGCGCATGCACGTGTCGACTTGGAGTGTGTGTATATGATGAATGTTTGTGTGCGCAAACCTACGCATGCACGTGTTGATTTGGAGTGTGTGTATATGATGAATGTCTGTGTTCGCACACCTGCGCATGCACGTGTCGACTTGGAGTGTGTGCACATACTGAATGTCTGTGTGTGCACACCTGCGCATGCACGTGCGCATGCATGTGTGGACTTGGAGTGCGTGCAAATGACGAAGGTCTCTGTGCGCACACCTGCGCATGCACGTGTGGACTACTTGGAGTGCGTGCATATGATGAGTGTCTCTGTGCGCACACCTGCGCATGCATGTGTGGGCTTGGAGTGCGTGTATATGATGAATGTCTATGTCCGCACACCTGCGCACGTGCGCATGCATGTGTGGACGTGGAGTGCGTGCAAATGACGAAGATCTCTGTGCGCACACCTGCGCATGCACGTGTGGACTTGGAGTGCGTGTATATGATGAATGTCTATGTGCGCACACCTCCGCACGTGCGCATGCATGTGTGGACGTGGAGTGCGTGCAAATGACGAAGGTCTGTGTGCGCACACCTGCGCATGCACGTGTGGACTACTTGGAGTGCGTGTATATGATGAATGTCTGTGTGCGCACACCTGCTCATGCACGTGCGCATGCATGTGTGGACTTGGAGTGCGTGCAAATGACGAAGGTCTCTGTGCGCACGTGCGCATGTATGTGTGGACTACTTGGAGTGTGTGTATATGATGAATGTCTGTGTGCGCACACCTGCGCATACACGTGCGCATGCACGTGTGGACTTGGAGTGTGTGTATATGATGAATGTCTGTGTGCGCACACCTGTGCGCATGCATGTGTGGACTTGAAGTGCGTGCAAATGACGAAGGTCTCTGTGCGCACACCTGCGCACGCACGTGCGGATGCATATGTGGACTTGGAGTGCGCACCCCTGCGCATGCACGTGCGCATGCATGTGTGGACTTGGGGTGCGTGTATATGATGAATGTCTCTGTGCCCACACCTGCGCATGCACGTGTGGACTTGCACGTGTGGACTTGGAGTGCGTGTATATGATGAATGTCTGTGTGCGCACACCTGCGCATGCACGTGTGGACTTGGAGTGCTGTATATGATGAATGTCTGTGTGCGCATACCTGCGCATGTACGTGTCGGCTTGGAGTGCGTGTGTGTGCGCACACCTGCGCATGCACTGGAGTGGGTGCATCTGATGAATGTCTGTGTGCGCACACCTGCGCATGCACGTGTCGACTTGGAGCGTCTGTATCTGCACCTGCGCGTGCACGTGTCGATTTGGAGTGTCTGTATCTGATGAATGTCTCTGTGCGCACACCCGCGCATGCACGTGTCGACTTGGTGTGGGTGCATCTGAGGAATGTCTCTGTGCGCACACTTGCGCGCACGTGCCGACTTGGAGTGCGTGCATCTGATGAATGTCTGTGTGCGCACACCTGCGCGTGCACGTGTCGACTTGGAGTGGGTGCATCTGATGAATGTCTCTGTGTGCGCACACCTGCGCATGCACGTTTGGACTTGGAGTGGGTGCATCTGATGAATGTCTGTTTGCGCACACCTGCGCATGCACATGTCGACTTGGAGTGTCTGTATCTGATGAATGTCTCTATGCGCACACCTGCGCGTGCACGTGTCGACTGCGCGTGCACGTGTCGACTTGGAGTGTCTGTATCGTCACAATCAAGAAGAAGTGGCTGTATGAGACGCGAGGTACAATTAATGAGGTTTCTTACTGCATTGCAGTGTAAGATGACTTGCATCAAGATTGACAGACTGAGAAAACACTGGAGAATCTGCAGCAGGGCAAAGGGACAGAGATTGATTCCAAAACTGAAGTGTTGCAAGTCTTCTTTCTCACTGGTGCGATGAATGATGCGAGAGGTGCTTTTTCCTCGGCGAACCTGCGCGGCTTCCATTCAGATGCGGAGTGAGACAGTATGCAAGTTACTCGCATTGGATGGAGAGGATAATGTGTCGCATGCGCATCGTATTGCATACGTAATGTGAGAGGACAAGTGGGTACTCTGAGAAGGGAATGCCAATGGACTCTTCAACGGTCTTGACAAACGAATAGGCCTCGCGATACGACTTTTCCAGAGCCGCCACAGCCTTCGAACCCATTTCCTTCAAAATTACAGGGCAAGAAAATAGATATGGGACTCTATGAGTCGCAAAAGCTCTGCTCACATGGAGGATGAGCTCAAATGGTGCTTCGTGAGCGCACATCGCTTTGCATCGCTCAGATCAAGCTTTCTCAGATGCGACAGCAAGTACAGCTGGTCGATAATCGAAGGCCGCTTCTTCTGCAGGACCTTGTCCCTCTGTACTGGAGAAGTAGCTTGCTCGATGCTAAGAGCGCAGCTGCTGAATGATGGGATTTGTCTGAAAAAATGATGGGATTTGTCCGAAAAAAGTCTCCCATGTGCTTCAGAAGGACCATGACCTTGAAAGGAAAGACTGACTCTCTGGCGATCTGAAGAATCGTCTTCCGGCGATCTGAAGAATCGTCTTCCGGCCTACAGACAACAAGAAGATAAGGGAAAGAGAAAAGTCCACGTAAATCAAGCACCTGCTCACTTTGTTTTCCATACCGAAAGCTCCAGTTGCTTTGAGATAGACATCTTGGAAGCCACCTCAAAGAGCGATTCCAGCATTTCTTTTTGATCTTATCTCAAGACAGCCACATGGAAGATGGTGTCTCCATCCTGCAGGAGAGAAAGGCCATGAACGTTCTGCATCTGAGCAAGTGAGTGAACTGGTCTGACTTTACCTGATTCTGAGCCATCAAGATGCTGTGGAGGTCGTCCAACTCTGGATCCTTCAGCAAATTCTCCAGAAAGCAAGCCTGCATTCGCTCGCAGCTGTGGAGCATTAAACTTCAGGTGGATCGGTGTCATGCCGACCTGATTTACACAGAGCGCAAGACACAAAGATGATGACTGATCCCATTAAGTTGAAGGTTTTACGTGTGTCCTCTCTCACCCAGTTCTGGCAGCCGAGCGAGCTACTACCTCCCTGCTGCAAGAGCATCTGAGTGACTTGATAATCAAAATGTCTGCTCATCACAAAAAGATGAAGGCAGGTGCTCTTGTACTGTGCACAGGATGAAAAAAGCTGTTCAGCTGACATTGCTTTGCGAAATCAGTCCTCCTCACCGAGTCTGCGAGTCTGTAATACTTCTCGCTCTGAAAGGGCCCCAAGTAAGGCGCCATCATATCGAACAAATCTCGGGCCCCAAAAAGCACAGCGACGTGAGATGGCGTCAGATCTTTTTGTGCGAGAGCAGAGGTCCATCACAGGTGAGACGAGATGATCCAATAGACCGTACCTTCATCCAATCCATACCTGCCCTTTCATTCCCAGGAGTTGACTACCGCCGTAGTCGAAGACATGCATAATATGCAATGAACGGCTCCCTCGCCCCGCCGCCTTCCCTCTGTCGTCAGGCAGGCAGGCAGGCAGGCAGGCAGGTAGCAGAGAAAACTTCTGTCTGCCCCCGTGTCGAACTCCGTGTGACCTTATCGGACACGATGCAATAATGCGTGCGACCCATCCAATGGCACATATAATGAATTCACACGTGTGGACAGCTGTGCAGATGTACACGTGTGTGACGGCGAAAGATGGAGGCAGATACAGACCAATACACTGCACACAGCGAGTGGGGCCATCATGAAGGCTACAAATAGTCTGATAGCTCTCTCTTTCTCAAGTCCAGAGCGAGCAAGTGTGCGATCCCGTCCCCTTGGAGTGTTGCCTTTACGACACTAAAGTAACGATCTATCTGACAGAGGCTCACATATCGGTAACCCATCGTGTGCGAATCGCGTACACGAGTAGGCAGAGAGCAATGCTGAGCCGCCATGACAATTCACAGCGGCACGCACGCACATGTAAAAGCTAGATGAGAGACAGACCTAGGCCGTGGTATGTCGTCCCCTCGTGTGTCCCCAGCAACACAGCATATTTGCCATCCAGCTGTAAACAGCCTATTTCAACACAGCACCCAATTCCCCCCCCCACCTACGCACGTACAAAAGCGGATACAGACAGACAGACAGACAGACAGAACAACCCCCACCCACGCATCCATGGAGACACGCTGCCGTTGATGGTGTCGCTCAGTTGTTGCTGCCGCTGTGACGAATGGGGGAAGGCGAAGGCTTTGCGCATGCACGTGTCGACTTGGAGGGTGTGTATATGATGAATGTCTCTGTGCGCACCCCTGCGTATGCACGTTTGGACTTGGAGTGTGTGTATATAATGAACATGTGTGTGCGCACCCCTGCGCATGCACGTGTTGGCTTGGAGTGTGTGTATGTACGCGTCGACTTGGAGGGTGTATATATGATGAATGTCTCTGTGCGCACACCTTGCCTCTGTGCGCATACCTGCGCATGCACGCG